GTATCAAGTGAAGGACCATTATTGTTTACCGTTCAAGTGAAGAACCGTTATTGTTTACTCTATCAAATGAGGGACTATTATTGTTTACTGTATCAAGTGAGGGACCATTATTTTTTACTGTATCAAGGGGCCATTATTGTTTATTATATAAAGTGAGGGACCATTATTGTTTACTCTATCAAGTGATTGACCATTATAGTTTACTATATCAAGTGTGGAACCATTATTGTTTACTCTATCAAGTGAAGGACCATTATTGTTTCCTGTATCAAGTGAGGGACCATTATTGTTTATGGATCCAGTGAGGGACCAGTATTGTTTATTGTATCAAGTGGGGGCCATTATTGTTTATTGTATCACGTGAAGGATCATTATTGTTTACTGTATCAAGTGAAGGACCATTATTGTTTACTGTATCAAGTGGAGGGCCATTATTGTTTACTGTTTAAGTGAAGAACCATTATTGTCTACTGTATCAAGTGAGAGGGCCATTATTGTTTATTGTATCAAGTGAGGGGCCATTATTGTTTACTGTATAAAGTGAAGGACCATTATTGTTTACTGTATCAAGTGAGGGACCATTATATTTTACCGTATCAAGTGAAGAAACATTATTGATTACTGTATCAAGTAAAGGAGCATTATTGCTTACTGTATTAAGTGAGGAACCATTATTGTTTACCATATCAAGTGAGGGACCATTATTGTTTACTGTATCAGGTGAGGGACCGTTATTGTTTATTGTATCAAGTGAGGGGCCATTATTGTTTACTGTATCAAGTGAAGGACCATTATTGTTTACTGTATCAAGTGAAGGGCCATTATTATTTACTCTATCAAGTGAGGGACCATTATTGTTTACTGTTTAAGTGAAGAACCATTATTGTCTACTGTATCAAGTGAGAGGGCCATTATTGTTTATTGTATCAAGTGAGGGGCCATTATTGTTTACTGTATAAAGTGAAGGACCATTATTGTTTACTGTATCAAGTGAGGGACCATTATATTTTACCGTATCAAGTGAAGAAACATTATTGATTACTGTATCAAGTAAAGGAGCATTATTGCTTACTGTATTAAGTGAGGAACCATTATTGTTTACCATATCAAGTGAGGGACCATTATTGTTTACTGTATCAGGTGAGGGACCGTTATTGTTTATTGTATCAAGTGAGGGGCCATTATTGTTTACTGTATCAAGTGAAGGACCATTATTGTTTACTGTATCAAGTGAAGGACCATTATTGAGTACTATATTAAGTGAGGGACCATTATTGTTTACTGTATCAAGTGAGGGACCATTATTGTTTACTGTATCAAGTGAGGGGCCATTATTGTTTACTTTATCAGGTGAGGGACCGTTAATGTTTACTGTATCAAGTGAGGGACCATTAATGTTTACTGTATCAGGTGAGGGACCGTTATTGTTTACTGTATTAAGTGGGGAACCATTATTGTTTACTGTATCAGGTGAGGGACCGTTATTGTATATTGTATAAAGTGAAGGACCACTATTGTTTACTGTATCAAGTGAGGGGACATTATTGTTTACCGTATCAAGTGAAGAAACATTAATGTTTACTGTATCAAGTCAAGGAGCATTAATGCTTCCTGTATTAAGTGAGGAACCATTATTGTTTACCTTATCAAGTGAGGGGCCATTATTGTTTACTGTATCATGTGAGGAATCATTATTGTTTGCTGTATCAAGTGAGGGGCCATTATTGTTTACTGTATCAAGTGAAGGATCATTATTGATTACTGTATCAGGTGAGGGATCATTATTGTTTACTGTATCAAGTGAGGAATCGTTATTGTTTACTTTATCAAGTGAGGGGCCATTATTGTTTACTGTATGAGGTGAGGGACCATTATTGTTTACTGTATCAAGTGAAAGCCATTATTGTTTACTGTATCAAGTGAGGGGCCATTATTGTTTACTGTATCAATTGAAGGAACATCATTGTTTGTTGTATCAGGTGAAGGACCATTATTGTTTACTGTATAGTGAAGGACCATTATTGTTTAGTGTATCAAGTGAGGGGCCATTATTGTTTACCGTATCAAGTGAAGAACCATTATTGTTTACTGTATCAAGTGAAGGACCATTATTGTTCACCGTATCAAGTAAAGAACCATTATTGTTTACTGAATCAAGTGAAGGACCATTATTGTTTATTGCATCAAGTGAGGGGCCATTATTGTTTACTGTATCAAGTGAAGGACCATTATTGTTTACTGTATCAAGTGAAGGACCATTATTGTTTATTGTATCAAGTGAGGGGCCATTATTGTTTACTGTATCGGGTGAGCGACCATTATTGTTTATTGTATCAAGAGAGGGACCATTATTGTTTACTGTATCAAGGGAGGGACCATTATTGTTTACTGTATCGGATGAGGAACCATTATTGTTTACTGTGTCAAGTGAGGGGCCATTATTGTTTACTGTATCAGGTGGGGGACCGTTATTGTTTTCTCTATCAAGTGAGGGACTATTATTGTTTACTGTATCAAGTGAGGGACCATTATTTTTTACTGTGTCAAGAGTCCATTATTGTTTATTATATCAAGTGAGGGACCATTATTGTTTACTGTATCAAGTGAGGGACCATTATTTTTTACCATATTAAGTGAGGGACCATTATTGTTTACTGTATCAAGTGAGGGACCATTATTGTTTACTGTATCAAGTGAGGGATCATTATTGTTTGCTGCATCAAGTGAGGGGACATTATTGCTTACTGTATCAAGTGAGGGACCATTATTGTTTACTGTATCAAGTGAGGGATCGTTATTGTTTACTGTATAAAGTGAGGAACCATTATTGTTTACTGTATCAAGTGAGGGACCATTATTTTTTACTGTATTAAGTGAGGGACCATTATTGTTTACTGTATCAAGTGAGGGACCATTATTTTGTACTGTATTAAGTGAGGGACCATTATTGTTTACTGTATCAAGTGAGGGACCATTATTGTTTACTGTATCATGTGAGGGATCATTATTGTTTTCTGTATCAAGTGAGGGGCCATTATTGTTTACTGTATCAGGTGAGGAACCATTATTGTTTACTATATCAAGTGAGGGGCCATTATTGTTTACTGTATCAGGTGAGGGACCATTATTGTTTACTGTATTAGGTGAGCAACCATTATTGTGTACTATATTAAGTGAGGGACCATAATTGTTTACTGTATCAAGTGAGGGACCATTATTTTTTACTGTATTTAGTGAGGGACCATTATTGTTTACTGTATAAAGTGAGGGACCACTATTGTTCACTGTATCAAGTTAAGGACCATTATTGTTTACTGTATCAAGTGAGGGGCCATTATTGTTTACTGTATCAAGTGAGGGACTATTATTGAGTACTGTATTAAGTGAGGGACCATTATTGTTTAATGTATCAAGTGAAGGACCATTTTTATTTACTGTATTAAGTGAGGGGCCATTATTGTTTACTGTATCGGGTGAGGGACCATTATTGTTTACTGTATCAAGTGAGGGACCATTATTGTTTACTGTATCGGATGAGGAACCATTATTGTTTACTGTATCAAGTGAGGGACCGTTATTGTTTACTCTATCAAGTGAGGGACCATTATTGTTTACTGTATCAAGTGAGGGGTCATTATTGTTTACTGTATCAAGTGAGGGACCATTATTGTTTACTATATCAATTGAGGGGCCGTTAATGTTTACTGTATCAAGTGAGGGACCATTATTGGTTACTGTATCGAGTGAGGGACTATTAATGAGTACTGTATCAAGTGAGGGACCACTATTGTTTACTGTATCAAGTGAAGGACCATTATTGTTTACTGTATCAAGTGAGGGGCCATTATTGGTTACTGTATCAAGTGAGGGACGATTATTGGTTACTGTATCAAGTGAGGGACCATTATTGTTTACTGTATCAAGTGAGGGACCATTATTGCTAACTGTATCAAGTGAGGGACCACTATTGTTTACTGTATCAAGTGAAGGACCATTATTGTTTACTGTATCAAGTGAGGGGCCATTATTGTTTACTGTATCAAGTGAGGGACTATTATTGAGTACTGTATTAAGTGAGGGACCATTATTGTTTACTGTATCAAGTGAAGGACCATTTTTATTTACTGTATTAAGTGAGGGACCATTATTGTTTACTGTATCAAGTGAGGGACCATTATTGTTTACTGTATCGGATGAGGAACCATTATTGTTTACTGTATCAAGTGAGGGACCGTTATTGTTTACTCTATCAAGTGAGGGACCATTATTGTTTACTGTATCAAGTGAGGGGTCATTATTGTTTACTGTATCAAGTGAGGGGCCATTATTGTTTACTGTATCAAGTGAGGGGTCATTATTGTTTACTGTATCAAGTGAGGGACCATTATTGTTTATTGTATAAAGTGAAGAACCATAATTGTTTATTGTACCAGGTGCGGGACCATTATTGTTTATTGTACCTGGTGAAAGACCATTATTGTTTATTGTACCTGGTGAAAGACCATTATTGTTTATTGTACCTGGTGAAAGACCATTATTGTTTATTGTACCTGGTGAAAGACCATTATTGTTTATTGTACCTGGTGAAAGACCATTATTGTTTAATGCACCGGATGTGGGACAATTGTTGTTATAAATATTATTATTTTTTGTCGAAAGACAACGATATCACAAAAGAAAGTGACATACCATTATGTATGGTACATCATCAGATTAGTAATAGAAGTAAAATTTTCGGTGCTTCTTCAGGATCTTAACACTATCCAGCGAGACCAATAATGAGTTTTTTTCCATATAGGATACGACACCGGTAAGTGTTCTTTGTAACTAGAGGAAATTAAGAACTGAAGTGCAACACATTCATTGCACAGCGATCGTATGGCAGATAATAACTTCGATCTTCAGAGCTAAGCAGAATTATTAACAATTAATCTTTAATGAACACAGAGTACTGTATACTGTACTGTAGATGAGGAGTTGCTGGCCTCTTGAAGACTCACCTCGTAGCGGATTCCAGCGCCGTACTTCTCAAGGGAGACGTACTTTTGGGTGTTCTTATTGATCCTGAAGATCATGGAGCAGTAGTCAGTGTTGAAGGGGTAGTAAAAGAAGTTGAAGGGGCACTGGAACACGATGGTGTACTTGCGCGAGATGCGGATGTAGTTGTCCTTCCCCTCATAGATCCTCGCTAAGGACACAACGAGTGTTCGTGAGGGAGGAGTTGGAGAGGGAGGAGTTGCTGAGACAGGTGTTGGTAAGGGAGGTGTTGGTGAGGGAGGTGTTAGTGAGAGAAGTGTTGGTGAGGGAGGTGTTGGTGAGGGAAGTGTTGGTGAGGGAGGTGTTGGTGAGGGAAGTGTTGGTGAGGGAGGTGTTGGTGAGGGAGGTGTTGGTGAGGGAGGTGTTGGTGGGGAGAGGTGTTGGTGAGGAAGGGTTGGTGAGGGAAGTGTTGGTGAGGGAGGTGTTAGTGAGAGAAGTGTTGGTTGAAGTGTTGGTAGTGTTGATGGGGAAGTGTTGGTTGGTGAAGTGTTGGTGAGGAGGTGTTGGTGAGAGGTGTTGGTGGTGGAGGTGTTGGTGAGGAAGGGTTGGTGGTGAGGAGGTGTTGGTGAGGGAGGTGTTGGTGAGGGAGGTGTTGGTGAGGGAAGTGTTGGTGAGGGAGGTGTTGGTGAGAGAGGTGTTGGTGAGGGAGGTGTTGGTGAGGGAGGTGTTGGTGAGGGAGGTGTTGGTGAGGGAAGGGTTGGTGAGGGAAGGGTTGGTGAGAAACTGAGAATTGTTGATCACAAATCAGACATCTTATTAAGAGAAAATATCAAGATCGATAGAAGGCAAGTAAAGTAGACAAGCACTGACGAAGGAGTAAGAGAGCAGACAAGTATTGACGAAGGAGTAAGAGAGGAGACAAGTATTGACGAAGGAGTAAGAGAGCAGACAAGCACTGACGAAGGAGTAAGAGAGCAGACAAGTATTGACGAAGGAGTAAGAGAGGAGACAAGTATTGACGAAGGAGTAAGAGAGCAGACAAGTAATGACGAAGGAGTAAGAGAGCAGACAAGTAATGACGAAGGAGTAAGAGAGCAGACAAGGATTGACGAAGGAGTAAGAGAGCAGACAAGTAATGACGAAGGAGTGAGAGAGCAGACACGTAATGACGAAGGAATAAGAGAGCAGACAAGTTCTGACGAAGGAGTAAAAGAGCAGACAAGTAATGACGAAGGAGTAAGAGGGCAGACAAGTAATGACGAAGGAGTAAGAGAGCAGACAAGTACTGACGAAGGAATAAGAGAGCAGACAAGTACTGACGAAGGAGTAAGAGGGCAAACAAGTAATGACGAAGGAGTAAGAGAGCAGACAAGTACTGACGAAGGAATAAGAGAGCAGACAAGTACTGACGAAGGAGTAAAAGAGCAGACAATTAATGACGAAGGAATAAAAGAGCAGACAAGTACTGACGAAGGAGTAAAAGAGCAGACAATTAATGACGAAGGAATAAGAGAGCAGACAAGTACTGACGAAGGAGTAAAAGAGCAGACAATTAATGACGAAGGAATAAGAGAGCAGACAAGTACTGACGAAGGAATAAGAGAGCAGACAAGTACTGACGAAGGAGTAAAAGAGCAGACAATTAATGACGAACGAATAAAAGAGCAGACAAGTAATGACGAAGGAATAAGAGAGCAGACAAGTACTGACGAAGGAGTAAAAGAGCAGACAATTAATGACGAAGGAATAAGAGAGCAGACAAGTACTGACGAAGGAGTAAAAGAGCAGACAATTAATGACGAAGGAATAAAAGAGCAGACAAGTAATGACGAAGGAATAAGAGAGCAGACAAGTAATGACGAAGGAATAAGAGAGCAGGCAAGTACTGACGAAGGAGTAAAAGAGCAGACAAGTACTGACGAAGGAGTAAGAGAGCAGACAAGTATTGACGAAGGAGTAAGAGAGCAGACAATTAATGACGAAGGAGTAAGAGAGCAGACAAGGATTGACGAAGGAGTAAGAGGGCAGACAAGTAATGACGAAGGTAAGAGAGCAGACAAGTAATGACGAAGGAGTAAGAGAGCACAAGTACTGACGAAGGAGTAAAAGAGCAGACAAGTACTGACGAAGGAGTAAGAGAGCAGACAAGTACTGACGAAGGAGTAGAGAGCAGACAATTAATGACGAAGAGTAAGAGAGCAGACAAGGATTGACGAAGGAGTGACAAGTAAGACGAAGAGAGAGCAGACAAGTATTGACGAGCGAATAAGAGAGCAGACAAGTACTGACGAAGGAGTAAAAGAGCAGACAAGTACTGACGAAGGAGTAAGAGAGCAGACAATTAATGACGAAGGAGTAAGAGAGCAGACAAGGATTGACGAAGGAGTAAGAGGGCAGACAAGTAATGACGAAGGAATAAGAGAGCAGACAAGTACTGACGAAGGAATAAGAGAGCAGACAAGTACTGACGAAGGAGTAAAAGAGCAGACAATTAATGACGAAGGAATAAAAGAGCAGACAAGTAATGACGAAGGAATAAAAGAGCAGACAAGTAATGACGAAGGAGTAAGAGAGCAGACAAGTAATGACGAAGGAATAAGAGAGCAGACAAGTAATGACGAAGGAGTAAGAGAGCAGACAAGTACTGACGAAGGAGTAAGAGAGCAGACAATTAATGACGAAGGAGTAAGAGAGCAGACAAGGATTGACGAAGGAGTAAGAGGGCAGACAAGTAATGACGAAGGAGTAAGAGAGCAGACAAGTAATGACGAAGGAATAAGAGAGCAGACAAGTACTGACGAAGGAGTAAAAGAGCAGACAAGTAATGACGAAGGAGTAAGAGAGCAGACAAGTACTGACGAAGGAGTAAGAGAGCAGACAAGTACTGACGAAGGAGTAAAAGAGCAGACAAGTAATGACGAAGGAATAAAAGAGCAGACAAGTAATGACGAAGGAGTAAGAGAGCAGACAAGTAATGACGAAGGAGTAAGAGAGCAGGCAAGTACTGACGAAGGAGTAAAAGAGCAGACAAGCACTGACGCAGGAATAAGAGAGCAGACAAGTACTGATGAAGGAGTAAGAGAGCGGGAATGTAGAGGCGTCGCCTTACCTTCTTTTGAGTTTTCAATGTTGTCACCCACGGGTTCACCCAGCCGTTTGATGGTGATCTTACAGTCAGCATCAACCACTGTGTGTTGGTTGTTCTCCGCGTTCAGGAAGTCGACGATGGGAACCCACATCGTCTCCGCCTGAATGACATTGTTTATTTCACCATAAAACTCCTTACATCAATATAACATTTTATACTTCACTAAAGCATTTCTTGCTTCATTATATCAATCCTTATTTCACCATAGCACTTCTAACTTCCCCATAACGCTCCTTCCTTCACCATAACCCTCCACATTTCCCTTAAGACTTTTTACATCACCATAACACTTCTTGTTTCTTCATATCAGTCCTTCACCATATCTCTTTTTACTTCACCAGAACATTTGTTACATCACCATACCATTCGTTACTTCACCATAACACTTCTTAATTCACCATAATACTTCTTACTTCACCATAACACTTCTTAATTCACCATAATACTTCTTAATTCACCATAACACTTCTAATTCACCATAATACTTCTTACTTCACCATAACACTTCTTAATTCACCATAATACTTATTACTTCACCATAACACTTCTTAGTTCACCATAATACTTCTTACTTCACCATAGCACTTCTTAATTCACCAAAATATTTCTATTTTCACCATAACACTTCTTACTTCACCATAGCACTTCTTAATTCACTATAATACTTATTACTTCACCATAACACTTCTTAATTCACCATAATACTTCTTACTTCACCATAACTCTTCTTAATTCACCATAATACTTCTTTCTTCACTATAACACACCTTACTTCACCTTAACATTTATTACTTCACCAAAACATTTCTCACTTAACCGCAATATTCGTTACTTCATAACACTTCTTACTTCACCATAATATTCTATATTTCACCATAACATTCATTACTTCACCATAATACGCCTTACTTCACCATAACATTTATTAATTCACCATAAAAAATTTTACTTAACCATACCACTTCTAGCTTCAACATAACCTTTAATACTTCACCATAATATTCGTTACTTCACCATACCACTTCTTACTTCACCAATAACACTTTTTCCTTCACCATAACATTCGTTACTTCATCAGAACTTTTCTTGCTCCACCATAACATTCGTTACTTCATGTGAACACTTCTTACTTCACTTCAACATTCGTTACTTCACCATAACTTCTTATTTCACCTTAACATTCGCTTCTTCACCATAACATTCGTTACTTAACCATAACAGTTCTCACTTCACCAAAACATTCGTTCCTCCACCAAAACACTCCTTATTCATAATGACTCTCCTTTAGTGTGGTATGATTACGGGGTGTAGTGTGGTATGATCAGTGAGTGGAGTGTGGTATGATAAGAATATGAGAACATAAGAATGGAGGAAACTACAGTGTGCCTATTGGCCCATACTGGGCAGTCCCATATACATCAAACCCCTATTGCTCATATATCCATCCAACCTATGTTAGCGTATTCGAGTTAATGATGATATTTGGTAACTTGTTCCAATCGTTCACTACTCTATTTCCAAACAAATGTTTACCTATTTCGAGACTAAATCTAAATTTCTCTAATTTAAAACCATTGTTACGAGTTCGCTCCTGGTTGGATAGTTTGCGCACCTTTGTAGTGTCCCCTTTTTTAGCCCTGACTTCCATGTATACGTCTCTCGAGGGAGTACATATTAAGATGCTTTAACCTGTATCTATACTCCAGGGTCCTAATGCCTGGGATTAGTCTTGTCATTCTCCTCTTAATTCTTTCTAAGGATTCTATATCCATTCTTTCTATATCCATTCTGTAACACAGTGACCAGAATTGAACTGCGTAATCCAAGTGAGGTCTCACATGGATAAGATACAAGGTGTAGTTTTAGGATGACCTCGCTAGTCTTGTAACAAACACTCCTTTGTATGAATCCAAGTACTTTATTAGCCTTGTTTCGAGCAAATACACATTGTTTACTTGCATACTTGGCATAAGATTCCTACTTATCATTACTCCTAAATCTTTCTCGCAGTCGGATTTCTCAATAACATCGTTGGTCATCTGGTTTCTGGTTTCCCTGTTTACATCTCCTAAACTGAGTACTTTACATTTGTCCACATTGAATTTCATCTGCCATTTTTCAGACCATTCGAAAAATTTGTTTAGATCTTCCTGTAGTTTTGGGGAGTCCTCGTCAGATTTAAATATACGCCCTATTTTAGTGTCAACAGCAAATTTACTTATGTTGCTGTCTACGCCGATATCTATGTTGTTTATGTATATAATAAATAATAATGGACCAAGTACTGAACCTTGGGGAACTCCACTAGTGACAGTTCTCCAATCGGATGTAGTGCCGTTAATGCTCACTCGCTGTTTCCTGTCTTGTAATCATGCACTAATCCAATTTAGAATATCTCCTTTTATGCCATGAGCCTCCACTTTTCTTAATAGTCTTTCGTCGGGGACTCTGTTGAAGGCTTTGCTAAAGTCGAGATATACCACATCATAATTGTGCCCCTTGTCCACTAATTCGAAAACAGATGAAAAGAATGTTAATAGATTAGTTAGACATGAACGTCCGTTTGTGAAGCCATGTTGGGAATCATTGATCAGCTTGTGCTTCTCCAGGTGATTTCGAATAGAGTTTGAAATGATTGCTTCCAGTAATTTCCCTACAATTGATGTTAGACTGATTGGACGGTAGTTAGAGGATAATGATGTATCTCCCTTCTTGAAAATCGGTATTACATTCGCTATCCTCTAGGATTCTGGTACTACACCCGTTTTTAAGGACATGTTAAACAACTTCGCTAATGACATACTAAGTTCTTCCTCACATTCCTTTAATACTCTGGCAAATATCTCATTGGGACCTGGTGACTTATTAGGCTTTAGTTTGTCTATTTGCTTACTAACATCGTTACTAGTCACTAATATTTCGCTTAACTTTTTTCTTCACTATCTTTGTATATCGTCGGTGCCTCGGGTTTCATGTTTAAATTTTCGGTGGTGAAAACCGTTGAAAAATATTTATTCAGATTATTGCTCATTTCTGCATCGTTATCAGTTAGGTCGCCGGTATCTGACTGTATTGGTGTTTGACTTCGCCTCCCTTGCTACCTTCAGATCATTATTCCTCTTTGCTTTTCTTATCTGGGTCTTAACCCTACTGGCCAATACTTATATTAATCTCGGAGGTAAACTTCACCACGATTTATTCCCCTACCTATAGCCTTCTTTTGTCCAATAATATTCTTTAAATAATTATTTATCCATTTACTGTGAGTGTAATGTGGCATGATCAGTGGGTGTGACGTGGGATGACTATAATAGTGAGTAAATACTGACAGGGAAAATCTACATCGTAGAATATACAGTATAGGGAGTGTAAACCGATTTTTTTTTTACAGGGAGTAACCCATCTGGGCACAGGTCACTGACCCACATCGGTGCCTGAGGGCGATAATGTGATAATAATAGCAATAATAATAATAATTAGTTCATAGTAAATAAAATTTATAATAAGAAATACAGAATTAAAATAAAATAATAATAATAATAATAATAATAATAATAATAATAATAATAATAATAATAATAACAATAATAATAACAATAATAATAACAATAATAATAATAATAATAATAATAATAATAATAATAATAATAATATTATTGATAATAATTATAATATTATTATTATTAAAGAACCATAAAGAAATACTAAAATAAAAGAAAAGATCAATAGTGAGAAACAATATATGTATGTTGTGCTGTTAACAAAGTAAGAGAAACAATTGAGACCCTGCAATTGTGTGTAAATGAAGCAGGAAGTCAGATCGGCAACCTGTGAGTAGTTGAGATAAAACTCATATTAGTGATGTGGTGGGATTAGAATACCCAGCGAGGATATTACCAGCTGCTGTGTATTGGTAAGAGTGAGTGAAAAAGAGGACAGGGATAGAGTTTGAGATTACTAATGTATATATTTTACGTAATGCACGAGGAGACGATGTTGATAGGTTAATATTGTATGTTATGTCTTTAATATTCATGTAAATGTCAAGGAGGCGGTCCTGATGCTGACCTCACTGGGCAGGATTATGTTGAGCTGACGGTCGCGTCGCAGGTGTTTGAACTGGAGGCGCTGGTCCTTCCAGATCATGCGCACCAGCAGCTCCACCGTGAACCTGTTGTTGATGGCGTCGATGTTGGCGAAGGAACTGAGGGTGAGGGAGATGGCGGGCTATAAAGAGGTCTTCATCTACTTGTTCACATGTACATTTTTACGTTAGTCCTTATGGTAGACTTTGCAATTATTTTGCTTAAATACTGAGTCTTTTAACTACAGTGTATTTTATATCTTATTACATTCAACTGACAAGGAATCTATGGTGCTACTACAGTATGCAGTCTAACCGAGCTGGAGTTGTGTCTACTGGGATATTTACACTGTAACATCTATTAAGTTAGCTAAGGTTAGGTTAGATGCTACAGTATAAATATCCAGGTAGGCCAACTACGGCTCGGTAGACTGTATACTATTATTAGTTTTCACATGACGTCACATAGTCCCACAATTCAACGCGTCTATACCTACAAGATGGTGGACCAATAAGGGTTAAAGATGAGTGGAAGGCAAAAATAAAGGCCGTATTTCGCGTTTGATTACTCGACCTTAGTAATCTTCTCACGCAGCAGATGGCAGCACCATCGTTTATCTTATAGGCATATCCCTGAGAAAACTTTTAATGTTAAATATATAAATTATATATTGTTTTTAGTAAACAGGAACTTAAGATAAGTTATCCATGAATAAAATGTTTGGAGGGTGAAATAATTGAATGTATAAATATTTCGATATATGATCCCCTTCAACATTTAGCCTTCCCAAAGGAGCAACAGAGGTAAAACTGTAAAGAGTAAAATAAACGGTATTATTGCGTTTTGAACCACATTATTTTAATCTTATGCATCATTCATATGAGGTAAGGTTAGGGCCTGACCCTACCTACCATTAACACAAGGTTAGGTTTAGTTTAGTTTAGCTTAGTAAATTACGTGGTAGAGAAATAGTTCCATAGCAGTTAGCCTGGTGGCGAGGCAGCCCCAGTGAGTTAGCTTATTTAGAAGGGTGTAGGATCACGTTTTACGCCAGAAATGGGTATTATTAGAGAGTTTGTGCCTAATCACAGACCTTTTAGTGCGTGTTCTTTCATATTCTTGGCCCAAAATAAGGTGAATGGTATTATTGCAGTTTTTCACAACCCTACAATCGAGAATTTTTTATTTGTGAAACACTTAAAAGGCTATTACAAGAAACTTTTCTTATATACCATTTTCGTCGCAAATGCATAATGGCGTCGGAAATTAAATAATTTATTTGCGTAAACATGGTTATAGTACTAAAAAACTACTTTTTAATAACGTAATGATTTGGGCCAAACGTTCTATTTTTATAAAGCAATCAAGGTCAATATCGTTTGATACCCATAAAAATGCACACACAAAAAATCCTGTTGAAGGAGGTGTGTGGCTGAGAATGCAATTTTACCCAATAAAATAACAAAGAAGAACAATGCTTGTAATAGTTTAATTAGATTTCTCTTTAATGACACCTTCCCCTCCTTGCAGATGTGAAAAGTGGTTACAGGTTGCACAATTGTATTTAAATAAACCACTCTTAAAACTCAACAGGAGGTTCGTTCAATGCAGCCAACACTTCACCCCTGATTGATTCAAACCACATAGCTCTCCTCCAAAACTGAAACATTTGAATGCTTACTTTATGTGTTAAGAAATAGTTGTGCTTGTGTTTGCCTGAAACTTCTAGTAATAAGAATAAATATTCGTATACTAATGTTTTTTAACTTACATTCCATTATAATGTATTCCCCCCCATACACTTTGGGGGGGATGGTTTTGTAGTGCAAGCAAACTAATATATCAGTATAAAGGGGACATAAGGTTTTCATTTTATGTACTTTGAATGATTGTGAACACAAAGGAGCCATTAGTAATAATGATAATTGAAAACACAACCATATGAAATGTTGCCCCACAAGTACAGTATATACCATGTAAACAAGTCACTTGTGTATGCATATGGGAGTGAAGTAACACTACAATATGTACATATGTAAATCTTTTGCGTGAGAATGCATTGCCAGTATTGATTCATTTCCAGCATGCCATTTGGTATATTTTGCATTATTCTAATAACATTAACTAGGTAAGTATTAACAATAAATGAAATGTCTCTTACTGATGGCAGTGTACAGGCGTACAGGCGAGGAATAGGGTCACGAGTCTTAAAGCAGTTACTCCAGAGCCGATTTTTAATTTAGTATCTTTAGTATCTTTCTCACCCAACTGAATACACCCAAGCCTGCCAATCTACACGCGGCATTCACCGAAGAACAAATAAAACAGATGATCACTATTATGATAGTGACTTTCTCTGCGATAATGCAGAAACAAGATACCAGCACCGAAAATATAATAAATGCAGTTATGACACAACTCACAGAAAAGATGCAGGAAGACCAGACCCCCAAAACTCCACAACTACGAGTGGAACAGACGACGCCCTTGAGACAGATATCAGACAAGAGAAAGAACTTGCCATCCAAGAGATCACTCAAAACCGTGAAACCTCAAGCCCCTTGCAACAGATCACAAGGAATAGAACAACAAGCACAGACCGTCAGCAAACACACGATCACAGACAAGAGCGACAGCACCCTGAAGAGAGAATAAAAACTCCCGAGATTCCACCTCCTGCTCCTCCCTCAGAGCAGGTGCCCAAGAAACAGCCACCACTCCTAACGGATGAGGAGGAGAGCGACTCAACCATGAACGCCGAGAGCAACTACAGCACCAGCGACGAGGAGATAATGATAGAATAGCCCCACCTCCTTGTAATCTCAAGATAACACAGTGAAATGTACAAGGCTTGTCCAACAAACGGCATACTGTACAAGCAGCAGCCATAGCTAAAAATATTGATTTCTTCATTCTGCAAGAAACCCTGGATACCAACAGTACTCTGTACCAAAGGGGCCCAACACCCATGGCAGCATGATTCTCGTCAGGGCGACCATCCCCAGTTCAGAAGTAGAACCAGTTCACTGTGGAGATGGAGTAGAGGCACAAGCTGTTCGGATACACCTGGCAAACGACAGTCTTGTAGTATGCAATATCTATAAACCGCCTACCAAACAACTAGAAGCCGGTAAACTACTGACACAAGCAACACGGGAACTTGTGCTCATTGCTGGGGACTTCAATGCCCACCATCCAACGTTCAATTCGACCACAACAATGAACCAGGATGGTCATCACCTAGTGGAACTGCTGACAGATGTTCCACAAATAACGCTCATTAATACTGGGGAACCAACACACACACTGGGAGGAACATTGGACCTCACATTCATCTCCACTGAGCTCGTTCCAGTAGCTCAGTGGGACATAGATGATGAACTGAACAGTGACCACTTTGCAACGACAACTACTTTGAGAATGGAACTACTCCCTCCTCCCCCACGTCCGCCACCCAGATGGAATACCAAGAAAGCAAATTGGAAATCAAATCAAGATGAACTCCAAAAATAGTTTTCGAACGATGAACCAGCAGAAGATATTGACCAACTAAACCAGGACCTTACTGATGCCATACAACACGCAGCAGAGAAAGCAATACCAAAAACAAACCCTACAAATAGACACCACAAAGACTACTTGTTCTACAATGACGAAGTCAGAGAACAGAATCACAGAATCAACACATTCAGAATACATCTCCGACAATACCCTTCCCCTGAGGGAATGAAACTCTTGAGAACTGCTGTTCAACATGCACGTAAAATTACTCAGAAAATTAGGGAAGACAAATGGCTCGAGTGGTGCACAACCTTTAATGCACACACCAGCCTGGGTGAACTCTGGAGAAAACTCAGGATAACAACAGAAAAACTGCCCAGATCTCCAGCCCACCCCCAGCCACTACAAGAAGCAAATCGCTTGGCAGAGCACTTTGCAGAACGCTCGTCATCAGCTCAACTACCTCCTGAAATAAGACTTCATCTACAGCAAGTACAATTGGAGAGAGAAGTAGTAGTTAGACATGCAATTGAACAAGCTGCCACTACAAACTGTCTGTTTACTATAGAATAAATCAGAAGGGCCAGGAAAACAAGCAAAGACACCGTTCTTGGGAATGATGGTATAACTATCATTATCATCTTACGTTCATCGTCATCTGTATCTTGGTAACTAGACATAGTATCATAAGAACATAAGAACACAAGAAAATAAGGAGTCTGCAATAGGCCGTTGGCCTGTGCATGGCAGCTCCTGTCGAGAGTTACTACCACTCTCTATCATCCATGAATCTATCTAGCCTCCTTTTGAAACTTTCCATAGTTCCAGCACTTACTACAAAGTTGCTAAGCTTGTTCCATTCGTCCACCACCCTATTTGTGAACTAGTGCCTTCCTATCTCCCTCCTAAACCTAAACTTATCCAACTTAAATCCGTTGCTCCGGGTCCTATCCTGCTCGGATATTAATTGAACTTTATCTATATCCCCTTTATTGATTCCTTTCACCCACTTAAATACTTCTATCATATCTCCCCGCACTCTTCGTCTTTCTAGGGAATGCAAGTTAAGTTTCTTTAACCTATCCTGATATGGAAGGTTTCTAAGTCCCGGAATCATTTTCGTCATTCTTCGCTGCATCGACTCTAGTGAATTGATATCTATTCTATAATAAGGGAACCAGAACTGAACCGCATAATCGAGGTGCGGCCTGACTAGCGCAAGATATAGTTGCAATAAGACCTCTGCTTTCTTGTAACTTACACTTCTAGATATAAAACCCAATACTCTGTTTGCCTTATTTCGAACATTAACGCACTGTTTTCTAGGCCGTAGGTCCGGGCTTACAAGTACCCCTAGGTACTTGGGATTAACAAGGGTAAAATGGAAGATGTTCTAAAGCTCAGTAATAACGAAATAACTAGAACAAATGGCTTTAAATTAGATAAATTCCGATTCAGAAAGGATATAGGCAAGCACTGGTTTGGTAATAGAGTTGTGGATATGTGGAATAGGCTACCGAGTGCTATAGTAGGATCGGGGACGCTAGGAAGCTTCAAGACGAAGTTGGATAGGCACATGGAAGTGCTGGGATGGGTGTGAAAGGGATCTGCCCTGTACGGGCCAGTCGGCCTCCTGCAGTATCCCACTTTCTTATGTTATGTTCTTATGTCTCTTTCACAAGTCGACTTCTCTAGGTTGATGTTGTTAAGGCTGTATACATTATCAGTATTTGTTCTTCCAATATTCAGTACGCTGCACTTGTTGGTGTTGAATTTCATTTGCCATTTTTCAGACCATCCCTGCAGTTTATTTAGATCCTCCTGTAATGCATTTGCATCCTGCCCTGAATTAATCTGCCGCCCTATTTTGGTGTCATCCGCAAACTTGCTTATGTCACTGCTGATCCCAGTATTTAGATCGTTTATGTAGATTATGAACAAAAGTGGGCCTAGTACTGACCCCTGGGGAACCCCACTGGTTACACGGCCCCACTCAGATTTAACACCATCTACGCTGACCCTCTGCGTTCTATCGGTGAGTCATGATTTTATCCAATTTAAAACTTTCCCCCTCGATACCATGAGCCTTAATTTTTGTCAGAAGCCTCTGATGAGGTACTCTGTCAAATACTTTGCTAAATTCTGAGTAAATAACATCGTTATTTTCGTCATTATCTACTACCTCGAAGACTTTCCTGAAAAAGTCAGCAGATTTGTTAGACAAGATTTTCTCTTTGTAAACCCATGTTGAGAGTCATAGATTAATTTGCTTTTCTCTAGATGCGATCGGATGCTATCTGCTATAATTGATTCAAGAAATTTCCTCACTACTGACGTCAAACTGATCGGCCGGTAATTTAATCCTGATGCTCTGTCTCTCTTTTTGAATATGGGTACTACATTTGCCTGTTTCCACAAGTCTGGCACAACTCCGGTGTCTAATGATTTTGTAAATAAATTTACGAGGGGTCCGCTAATCTGTTCTCTACACTCTTTCAAGACTCGAGGGAAAATTTCGTCCGGCCCTGGGGATTTTGTCTTCTTTAGTTTATTTATCTTCTTAAGAACATCCTCTTTTCTGATAGTGATATCTTTAATTTCTCTTCTTCCTTTCCCCTAAATATCAGTTCCACCTCTGGAATTTCCTAGCGAATTTCTTCTGTGAAAACTGATAAGAAGTAGTTGTTCAATGCTTTGCTTATTTCTTCACTGCCATTTATCACTTCTCCCCTCCCTGACTTTAAAGGCTCAACTTTGTCCTTGACTTTTGTTCTATATACCTACTGTAGATAGTTCATTATACCTATTTCTGAGCTGCTCCTCCCTGTCCTTTAATTTCTTATAAATTCCTTTCTTTATTCCTATCAATACATGACAGTGTTATTAGTATAATATTGTACCTTTTTACCTACAGTTATTGTTGTAAATCATGGACAGGAAGGATACATAAATTGTAATATCAAGTGTATGGTTCGCTCAAAGCCACCCGAAGTCATACAACGCGTCACACAAAGTTGCACTGTGTGTGTGTGTGTTCTGTAGCATTAAGCTTCATCCTTAGTAGGTAAGCTGTTTCAAAAAGAGGTTTCTCCCATTCGTCATTGTGAGCATCGTCCCAGAGCACTTTGTTTCCATCAAAACCATGGTTCATCCTTATTTGTCTGCTGTAAACGTTTTGTGGACTGGGTGATTTGGAAGTGTTTATTTCCATTCATACTTTCGTAACTACAACCTATGGTAATTTTTCTTCGTGTTCATATATAATGAAGATAATGCCGAGTATAAAATGTCATATACAATATTTATACATAATGTCATCTATACAGCCATACTATGACTGTGTGTGTTGCCTCATGATAGTTAGAGTGGGCCCCCGTCCAGAAAGGACACTGTATTAACCTCCAGCACCTACTCAGGTGGGCTAGAGAATATGGTTTCCGAGTGTACATTTAACCAAAAAGACGCTGGTGTTTTATCCCAGTAGTGGGTGGACCAGCATTTTAGCTTAAGATCGGCGTAGGTAATATTCCTACAAAAAAAAAAAAGCTTTCCTCTCATTCTTTAACCCTCATTGTGGTGGACTGTACAAAAGATTATGGGAGTTCTGACGTCAATGTAAACTAAGAATATCTGTATATTGTTTTGAGATATCTTTATTGGCTAATTCGATTCCAAATAATACCAGCATCGTAGAAACAAAAAATACGAGGCTAATACTGTAATGGTCATGATAAGAGCTAACCTGAAAACCTTAAGGATTCATATTACGCTCAAACGTCCACAAAACCTTCCGAGTCCCCCAGTGGAAACGTCCCCCGTTTTCTCTGTTTCCCCGGCCTTTGTCTATGGGAGCAGACGCTGTATGCTGGGACCTGTTGCCATCCATTCCTTTGTAATCAATTTAATTCTGCTTTCGATAGCTGAGTCAGAGCATTGTTAGTGAAGATAATAGTAGAGAATGAAAATGAGTTCATAGTCTCAATTTCAACGTCAGAGGGTACCGTAAATTAATTCATCGGAAGAGGAGTAGCTGGACTCCCTGGTCTGGTTTGAGTGAGGGCACGCGGGCATTTTAACCGTTAGTAAGTGCCCGTCCCTTCATCCATACAGGTATGCCATTCCACGCTGTGTTGTAATTTGCCCTTCTTTAAGTGATTTGACCCAATTGATAGTTGATTGTGCAAGTGTTACAGTAACGTAGTTGATATGCTCTGAGTAAAGTCATATTTGCGTCTTTAACGTCCCCTGAAACGTGTTGTTGTTGTCACCGGTTAGTAAGTGCCCGTCCCTTCATCCATACAGGTCCCTAACGCAGCCTAGGCCGTGTCTGTAGGGTGGATGTTGTATCCACTATGTCTGGGGACATGTCCGAGGTCCAGTAGGATCAGTTACCTTCGTGAGACCCGGCCGTCAGACACTTCAGACCACCTATAGCCCCCATAGCTGGCTCGTCTGGCCCTAACGCTCGGTCCACGAGGTGACCCCGGACCACCAAGCCACACACCACTACCAGCCCCCATCATTGGTGGATGAATGTCTACCTCAGTAGGGCTATATTTGTGTGGTGGAATTAACCCACTGGGATCTCCAGAGTTCGTCGGATAGTACTCCATGGTGGCTGGACCCCATGGCTGTTGCTTGAGTATCACTCCTGACGACTGAGTGTTGTAGTGGCAGTTGCCCTAGTATGTATGGTGCTAAGTGACTATCCTAGTTGTGCTATTGAGTATGTCCACCCAGTAGGGTTGGAAGGGTATTGAATATGTCCACCCAGTAATGGTGTGAGTATGTTGTGCCTGAGGGCCTAGTAATAGATTTCGTCTGTTAGTACAAACCAATTCTCTCTTCTAATTTCATATTCATGTTTAAATAAACTTTGTATTTGTATAATTGTGTATATTATTTACCTACAGTATTTACCGTTATTTCTTCCCTATTGCTTGATACTATCATTACACCTACCCACGAGCCTCCTATCGTCACGCTACCAATGGTGATATATAAGAGTAAAAGGAATTGTTACTGGCACACAGGCCCTCATGAAGGGTGGCAGTAGCAGCCCTCATAAATGGTGGCAGCTTAGGACCTCATAATACCACGAATACAATGTTAAAAATATTACACAAAACACGTTGGTAAGGTCTGTTTACATTCGTGGGGACTATATGATTTCCGTGGTTAGTCTCCAGCTCAAACAATCTTTAACTAGGATGGAGGTTTTCATTTATTTGTATTTTAGTTTCATTTTTTCCCAAGCTCATAAAGGGTGTGTGTTCTATCCACTAATTCTTAGTTTGCAGTGATATCGCAACTCCCATAATCCTTTGCGCAGTCCACCCATCTTGTAGGTACAGACGCGTTGCATTATGGGAGTTGTGACGTCAATTGAAACTAAGAATAATTACACAGAACCTATCTTATGTAATTATTTCTGAATCTTTCTCTTACATGGAGATGGCAGGACTCACCTGAGTGTGAGGTTGACGTAAACAGGTAGAGGAGAGTAACCGTCGATGCTGGGGGGAGGAAGGGTAGGCTGGTAACCCTTCGGCAGCAGCACAGTGGAACAGTCCAGCTCGTCTGACATGTCATGACACTGTACCCGACGGTCGCATACCTCACATACAAAATATTAAATATAGCTGTTATACTTAATTAACATACCCTAATTATTAATTAGCGAATGACTGCCCATTAGAGTAAGAATCTTTAAAATAAAAAGAATAAACAAATGTGTATTATAGTGTAAGATATACAATGTTAAAAAAAGACTAAAATGAAGACCCCTTGACCTTCAACACTTGGTCTAGCTGTGGAGTACAGATATTATGTTTATGTAATTATTAGGCTCTCAATTCTAAGTGAAAATTTGGTTTTATGGCGACATTGTAAGTGGATATTGTAGGGGAGACTTTTATTTTGTGTGAATTGCAAAAATAGCCTTATGCTTCCCATCCAAAAAGATTTGGCCGTGAGATGGCACGAGTTTTGGCAGCGAAGCTTGTACATCTGGCAACCACGGTCTGTACTCACCCCTGAAGATGTGATATATATATATATATATATATATATATATATATATATATATATATATATATATATATATATATATATATTTATGTAGATATAATAAAACGTGGATAATCACACGGAAAGGAAACAACGGAGCACCTATTGTGCTCCGTTTCTCTTTTCGTGTATTTATATATATATATATATATATATATATATATATATATATATATATATATATATATATATATATATATATATATATATGCAAGTAAATCACTGTAGGTGCGCGTGATCTAGGTATATGCTGATAACCACAAGGAAAGAAGAAAACACGAAGTTCCCAAGCGCTTTCGTGTAATTCACATCTTCAGGGGTGAGTACAGACTAGAGAGAGTAATACAAACCAAGGTGTATATATACAGAGGAGGGTGAGACCAGGTCCACAATGGTCAGGTAATGACCCTACTAATCTTTAAATAGCACACAACGGTTGGTGGTCAGGTCAGATGGTCAAGTGACCCGGCCTTCTCACCTGATCACAAATCTTCTTAATTACAAAATTGTAATATGTATGTTTTACTTAGGCCAGACAGGTAAAGATCTTGCAACTAGAATTAAACAACACAAATACAGTGTTAGGACAGGCCAGGAATCCAATGCTCTGTTTGTTCATTTGAGGGATAACAAGCATTGCATTGACTGGGATAATGCCTCCTCAATATTACCATGTAATTCAATTGATAGTAGGAACATCATAGAATCTAGTCTAATTAAACATACCGAAGCATTCAACATGAATTTGAGTAACGGCATGTATAAGCTGGACAATTTTGTAATTAAGAAGATTTGTGATCAGGTGAGAAAGGCCTCACTTGACCATCTGCCCTGACCACCAACCGTTGTGTGCTATTTAAAGATTAGTAGGGTCATTACCTAATACCTGACCATTGTGGACCTGGTCTCACCCTCCTCTGTATATATACACCTTGGTTTGTATTTCTCTTTAGTCTGTACTCACCCCTGAAGATGTGAATTACACGAAAGCGCTTGGGAACTTCGTGTTTTCTTCTTTCCTTGTGGTTATATACTTCCAGATCACGTGCAATTCTGCCAGTGACACATTGCATATATATATATATATATATATATATATATATATATATATATATATATATATATATATATATATATATATATATATATATATATATATATATATATATATATTGATAAATAATATCGGAAGAACAACGTGAGCACACAGGTGCCTGTTGTTTCCTTTTCCCGTGTGATTATCCACGTTTTCATTGTAAGACTACATGAAATATATATATATATATATATATATATATATATATATATATATATATATATATATATATACATATACTGTATACATATATATACATACATATATATATATATATATATATATATATATATATATATATATATATATATATATATATATATATATATATATATATATTATCATAATATTGTATTTTAACACTCCATTAGACTTTGCCTCATCACGATAATAATGTAAGTAATTCCTTAGAGACAACCAACCTTAGGGCAGACTCATTGAGAGAGCTTATCTATCGCCCTCTGGACGCGAGTTTACAGCTACAGCTCTGTCCAGAAATATAGTGTAGCAAAGGGCTATCACACACAAAAAAAGGAAAAACCCAGTTATGTTTCAGATAATATCCCCTCGACTACAACAACTATTAGCACATAAATGACTATCGTAAATTAAATGGATGGTTACAAAAACATACAAATCAAGTTATAATAATGACTATAACACTGAGACAAAATCTGTCCCCAAGGACTCCCTGGGACAAAATCTGTCACCACAATCTCCCTGGGGCAGCAATTATCACCATACTCTCGCTGGGACAACATTTGTCACCACACTCCCTGGGGCAACACCCCAGCTGTACTGGGACATCATTTGCTTCATATAACTTGGGGTAACTTTGTCATCTCATATGTTCAGAGACAACATTTGTCACCTAATACATCTTGGGACAATATGTCACCACACAAACCTTAAAAGAATATGTATCAGGTATCACCTTACACACTTTGAGTCAAAATCTGTCATGTCATTTCCAGGGATAATACCTGCACCTCGCACGCAAAGGGACAACACCTTAACCTGACACTCTTAGGGAGAAAATCTGCCACATTACAGCTACGGGACATCTGCCACCTCAGTTACCCTGGGACAACATCTGTCACCTCACACACCCTGGGACAACACCTGTCACCTCAACACACCCTGGGACAACACCTGTCACCTCACAAACCTTGGACAATACATGCCACCACTTATACTCCTAGACAACACCTATCACTTATTTTAATGGTTGCCCCTTGTGTACGAGGATGGCCGGGTCAAGGGCCACCAAGGGGTAAATTTTTTTAAGGTGTAGAAACTGTCGCTAACACAACAACCACAACCTACAGTAAGTTGCATGACCCAGTGTCAAGGAATAATCCAAGAAGACCGACAACTCACCAACTGCACTGGCTAACCATTATCCCGGAACACGATCCCCAAAACTATTAACATCCAGGTTCTCAATTACTGCTCGGTAGACAGAGGGAAATGACGTAAAGAAACTTGTCCACAGTTTCACCTTACATACCTTAGGACAACACCTGTCACCTCACATACCTATGGACAAAACCTGTCTCTTCGCACAACCTTTTTAACAACAACTATCCCCTCACACACACACACACACACACACACACTCTTGGACAGCACGTGTCATTTCACACACCTTGGGACAACACGTGTCACTTTACATACCTTAGGACAACACCTGTCACCTCACATACCTATGGACAAAACCTGTCTCCTCACACAACCTTTTTAACAACTTTTTCTTCCCCACACACACGCTCTTGGACAACACGTGTCACTTCACACACCTTGGGGCAACACGTGTCACTTTACATACCTTAGGACAACACCTGTCACCTCACATACCCTAGCCAAGGACACAAATCGTGACTCACCTGGTTGATGGGAATGCAGGTCCCGTCGTCGCAGGTGAACTCAGTGTCTTTTGCACACTGTGTGAGTGTCAGACTCTGTGGCACCCTTTTCTCCTCCCTACAAAACCCGTGTGAGAACTTCCAGTGATGACGCCCAATCGGGAAGTCCAGTGACCCGTCGTCTTCCATCCTGGCAAAGGTGTCGTTGATCTGTAACAATTCGAGCGTATGTTGATCCGGCCTTGTGCCATTACCATAACCACCAACACTATTATCATCACAATTACCATGATCACCACCCCCACTCCTGCCATAATCACCACCTCCACTACTACTACCATTATCACCACCACCTCCACCACAGCTACTACCATTATCACCTTCACTATCACTGTTATCACCACTACCACTACCATCACCCACACCACCATCACTAATACCTTTACCATCTCCACCAACTACACTATCATCACCACTTCCACTTCTACCATCATCACTACTGTTGCTATCGTCTACACCACCATCATCACTACCATTTCCACTTCCATCCCTATCCAACTATTACCATCGCCATCACCACCACCGCTACCACCACCATCATCACCTTTGCTATCATCACCTCCTCCATTATTAAAGTACCATTATCATCACAACTACCACTGTTACCCTCACGACCACCACTACCATCACCATCGGAACCACCACTATTTCCTTCATCATCATCACCATCACCATCATTACTATCAATACCATGATCACTATCACTACCTGAACTACCATTGCCTGCCTCTACCCATCTACCAGCACTAACCTATAACCACTCATCTACCCCTAACTACCAGCCTTACACCAACTCACCATTAATTACGGAACCAGACTGCCCACTCACCCATCTACCACTAACTACCAGCCTGCTCCACCTATCTACCACTAACTACCAGCTTGCCCCACCTATCTACCACTAACTACCAGCCTGCTCGACCTAACTACCACTAACTAACAGCCTGCTCCTACATATCTATAAATACTATACCTCCACTCCATCCGTTTGTAATCAAAACCCTACTGGTTCAGACATAGCCACACTATAGGATGAGATATACCTACCGTGTTTCAACCTGTGTATGGTATATAAGGATAGGAGAACTCGGTCACACGGTCAAGGTGACTGTCGTGTATGCCTCCTCTTCTCTATCACATTAAGAAAAAACCTTCAATTCCCTTCCCTTCCCTTCCCTTCCCTAGTAAACACTCACACTGCTCTGCAAATATCGAGAACCACCAGACGTCTATCACTCTTCTACTTCCCCTCTCAACTTTTCTCACCGATCCGATATCCACTCATGTGTTCAGACCAACCTGCCTACTCCACCTCACTTCCTGTTCTACCCCAGAGATCGTTTTTTGGTGCCACTGACTTGCATCCAGCCTTCCTGACCTATAGGTGGTTTCCAATTCCTGCACCTGGTCTATCAGACTATCTGGCCTGCGCTTGATTCCCCTAGCCTGTACCGGGTCTCCCTGGCCTGTACCTGGTTTCCCTGGCCTGTACTTGGTCTCCCTGAGCTGTACCTGGTCCCCCTGGCCTGTACCTGGTCTCCTTGTCCTACACCTGGTCTCCCCGTCCTACACCTGGTCTTCCTGGTCTACACCTGGTGTCCCTGCTGTACACCTGGTCTCCCTGGTTTACAGCTGGTCTCCCTGGTCTACACCTGGTCTCCCTGGTCTACACCTGGTCTACACCTGGTCTCCCTGTCCTACACCTGGTCTCCCTGGTTTAAACCTGGTCTCCCTGGTTTACACCTGGTCTCCCTGGCTTACACATGGGCTCCCTGGTCTACACTTGGTCTCCCTGTCCTACACTTGGACTCCCTGGTCTACGTCTGGTCTCCCTGGTCTACACCTGGTCTCCTACACCTGGTCTCCTGGTCCACATCTGGTCCTCGATTTTGGTCTCCCTGTCCCCACCTGATCTCTGGTATCTGTATCCTGGTGTACACCTGCTCCCTGGTACACCTGGTCTCCTGTTTTACAGTCTCCCTGGTCTACATCTGGTCTCCCTGTCTACACAGTGCTCCTTTGGGTTTACTGATCTCCTGGACTACAGTCTCCCTGGTCTACATCTGTTCCTGGTTTACACTTTGTCTCCCTGGTCTGCACCGGGTCTCCTTGGTCTACACCCGGTCTCCTGGTCACTACTGGTCTCTGGTCTCATCTTGGTCTCCTGTCCTACCTGGTTTCCTGGTCACACCTGGTCTCCTGGCTACACAGGTCTACCAGTGCCATCTGGTCTCTCTATCCTACACCTGGTCTCATTGTCTTACACCTGGTCTCATTGTCCTGCACCTGGTCTCATTTTTCTACATCTGGTCTCTCTGTCCTACACCTGGTCTCATTGTCCTACACCTGGTCTCCCAGTCCTACATCTGGTCTCCCTGCCCTGCACCAAGTCTCCCAGTCCACATCTGGTCTCTGTCCCACCTGGACTCTGGTCTACATCTGGTCTCCCTGGTTTTACATCTGTCTCCCTGGTCCATCTGGTCTCCCTGTCCCTACACCTGGTCTCCCTGGTACACCTGGTCTCCCTGTCTCCCACACCTGGTCTCCCTGGGTACACCTGGTCTCCCTGTCTACACTTGGTCTCTGTCCTACACTTGGCTCCTGGTCTCACATGTGTCTGGTCTCCTGGTCTACACCTGGACTAATTGTCCTACCTGGTCTCCCGTGTCCTACTTGGACTCCTGGTCTACATCTGGTCTCCCCCGGTCTCTCTGTCCTACACCTGGTCTCCCTGTCCCTACACTTGGGCTCTGGTCTGCCTGTCTCTGTCTACACAGATGCCTGGCTCACCTGGTCTCCTGTCACTACATGGTCTCTGGTCACACCAGGTCTCCTTGGTCCACACCGGTCTCCTGGTACAGTCTCCTGGTCTGCCTGGTCTCCTGGTCTACATCTGGTCTCCTGTCCTATACCTGGTCTCTGGTCTGGTCTCCCAGGTCTGGTCTCTGTTCTACACCTGGTGTTCGTGGTCTGGTCTCATTGGCCTACACCTGGTCTCCCTGTCCTCACTTGGACTTACACCTGGTCTCCTGTCCTACACCTGGTCTCCCTGTCCTACCTTGGTCTCCTGGTCCCACCTGGTCTCCAGGTCTACACCTGGTCTCCCTGTTCTACACCTGGTCTTCGTGGTCTACACCTGGTCTCATTGGCCTACACCTGGTCTCCCTGTCCTACACTTGCAGGCTCCCTGGTCTACACCTGGTCTCCCTGTCCTACACCTGGTCTCCCTGTCCTACACCTGGTCTCCCTGTCCCTACATCTGGTCTCCCTGGTCCCTGCACTGGTCTCTTTGGTCCACCTGGTCTCCCTAGTCTACACCTGGTCTCCTGGTCACACCTGGTCTAACTTCGATCCACATCTGGTCTCCCTGTCCTACCTGGTCTCCTGGTCTACTGGTCTCCAGGTCTACACCTGGTCTCCCTGTCCTACACCTGGTCTCCCTGTCCCACCTGGTCTTCCTGTGTTTACACCTGGTCTCCTGTCCTACACCTGGTCTCCCTGTCCTACATCTGGTCTCCTGTCCTCACACCTGGTCTTCCCTGGTCTACACCTGGTCTCCCTGTCCCTACACCTGGTCCCACTGTCTACATCTGGTCTCCTTGGTCTACACCTGGTCTCCCTGTCCTACACCTGGTCCCTGGTCTGCACCTGGTCTCCTGGCCTACCTGGTCTCCTTGGTCTACATCTGGTCTCTCTGTCCTCACACCTGGTCTCCCTGTCCTACACCTGGTGTCCCTGGTCTACATCTGGTCTCCTTGGTACATCTGGTCTCCCTGTCCTACACCTGGTGCCCTGTGTCCCACACCTGGTGTCCCTGCTCACATCGTCTCTCTGTCCTACACTTGGGCTCTCAGTCCCTACATCTGGTCTCCCTGTCCTACACCTGGTCTCCCTGGTCTACATCTGTTCTCCCTGCACACCTGGTTTCCCTGGTCTACACCTGGTCTTCCTGGTCTACACCTGTGTCCCTGTCTACACCTGGTCTCCTGTCCTACATCTGGTCTCCCTGGCCTACACCTGGTCTCCCTGTCTACATCTGGTCTCCCTGGTATACACCTGGTCTCCTGTCCTACACCTGGTCTTCCTGGTTTACACCTGGTCCCTGGGCTACACCTGGTCTCCTGTTCTACACCTCTCCCTTGGTCTACACATTGGTCTCCCTTGGTTCTACACCTGGTCTCCTTGGTCTACACAGGTCTCTCTGGTCTACACTTGGTCCCTGGTCTACACCTGGTCTTCTGGTTTACACCTGGTCTCCCTGTCCTACACCTGGTCTCCCTGATCTACATCTGGTCTCCTTGGTCTACACCTGGTCTCCTGTCCTACACCTGGTTTCCCTGGTCTACACTGGTCTCCCTGGCTACACCTGGTCTCCTTGGTCTACATCTGGTCTCCTGTTTTTCACTTGGGTGCTCCCTGGTCTACACCTGGTCTCCTGTTCTACACCTGGTCTCCCTGGTCTACACCTGGTCTCCCTGTCCCTACACCTGGTCTCCCTTCACTGTCTCCCTATCCCTGCATCTGGTCTCTGGTCTCTGCACACCTGGTCTCCTGTCCCTACACTGGTCTCCCTGGTTTACACCTGGTCTTCTGGTCTACACCTGGTCTCCTGTTCATACACCTGGTCTCCTGGTCTACATTGGTCTCCTTGGTTCTATACCTGGTCTTCCTGGTCTACACCTGGTCTCTCTGGTCTACACCTGGTCTCCCTGGTCTACATCTGGTCTCCCTGTCGTTTACCTGGTCTCTTTGTCCCACACCTGGTCTCCCTGTCTACCTGGTCTCCTTGGTCTACACCTGGTCTCCCTGTCCTACACCTGGTCTCTCTGTCCTACACCTGATCTCCCTTTTTACACTTGGTCTCCCTGGTCTACACCTGGGCTTCCTCTCCTACACCTGGTCTCCCTGGCCTACACCTGGTCTCCCTGTCCTACATCTGGTCTCCCTGGTCTACATCTGGTCTCCTGTCCCACACCTGGTCTCCCTGGTTTGCACTTGGTCTCCCTGGTCTACACCTGGTCTCCCTGTTCACCTGGTTTCCTGGTCTACACCTGGTCTCCCTGGCCTACACCTGGTCTCCTTGGTCTACATCTGGTCTCTGTCCACACCTGGTCTCCCTGTCCTACACCTGGTGTCCCTGCTCTACATCT